TGCAAATATATTATATTTGATTGAGATTGGCTAGTTCATTTGGTCATGTTTCAATCAGAATCAGGACAAAATAACATTTTGAGAATTTTATGGATAAAAAGGAACAAGGGCCACATAACTAAAATATACAGGACACTTCTAGAATGAATTTGTCATAAACTGATCAGAGGTATGTAAACAAGAAAAAGCCACTATTTTGTCCATAGCTGCCTGCTTCAAATAAAGGCCATTTCTAGCTTTGCAACTGTTGCCTAAAATAGAGTTATAAACAGTAAAGAAAGGCAGTCCTTTAACAACATTTTCAAACACCTTGTTTTCCTTGTAAGGAAATAAAATGTATTGCACATTTTTGTTACGCCTGAGAGGAAGTGTGCAGCAACAGGTGGGGAGAGGTTACTTTGTGGCATCTCATCTAAAGAACAACAGACTAAAGCAAAAACCTAAAAATATCTGGATAGAAGTCACTGTGCCATGAGTGATACACACATTTGCAGCTTGGCTGAGATTAACCATCGTTACAGAAGTATAATAGCAGCGTTATGTTGGAAATGCATGACATGCATTGTATTCTTAGGTTTTCATCTAACTGAAAATGTCGACTTTTTTCCACAGTTTATGGTGTAATCTCATTTCTATATTTGAATATGGATTATACCTACATTTTATCTAATGTAGCAATCACTGTCCCATAGGCGCAATACTTCAAAGCTGTTACACCAACTTGATTTTTTCACCAGTTTTTAACTCAATTCATGTTTTAGCTTCTTTTTTTAGGACCTTTTTATGAAGATGGAAACATTCTGCCCATATCGGCTCACCGTCCTGACAAATGTTTACCACTTGGGCCTTCGTGTTTTTCCCTGACCAAGTCGGGCTCCGTCCAACTCCATGACTGCCTGACCTTCAGCCCGTCTTTGTCCCAGTGCTGCCATGACCCACTGAGTCAGTGGAAAACTCATTTAAACCTAATTACATGGGCCCGGCTTCTACTTCTCTTACTTTCTTTCACAGAAGAGCCACTTTCTTTCTTACGTCCCTTCTCTATTCTCCTTTGCTTTCTCGCTGTCCTTTTCTCTTTGCTCTCTCGTTTCTTGTCTCCTTCTGCTCCAATTACTGGATCAACGTAGCCACGCAACACCAGTCAGCCAAAACACGCACACACAGGACATCCAACACTCTAGTGTGACCAAGAGGCCCCGACTACAAAAGCTTTTACATGGTGCATTGTTATACCCCTCGGGTCAGCAATAGGTTAGCAGCCAGTCTTAATTAGTTTACATAACTTATACCCTTCTTCATTTCTTGTGGCCATAAACATTTCCCTTTGACATGAAGGCAAACTCTAAACACACAAGGAAAAATCCACAAATTTCCACTAACTTCAGCTGCTGGAAAAAAGTTTCATATTAAAAGATCAAGGCAGTAAAACCGAAAGAAGCCAACAAAAAACAGCAAGATACATCAGACGCAAAAGTCATTATTGATAGAGGACAATCTGGGATTAGCAGACTAATTCATCTCTTTCCCAGTGTCAGTAGAAACAAAAAATTGCAGACCAAATGTAAATCTGGAAACTTTTAGAAATAAATCATCATATTAAGCTCTAAAATACAAAAAATTGCTAACAGAGTAAGATGCTTTGCAAAAGTTTACACACTTCTTTGACATTCTCAGATTCAAATTATGTTTACATGAGTATGTTTGATCAGATCCTGTGCAAAATTAGGAACTTTTAAAATAAAAGAAAAAAAGAAAAGCACGGCCTACATCTGTTACTAACAACCCAAAACAGTCCTGTGTAAATGATTGTCTTACATGTGAAATGTACTTTCAGTATGCATTCAGTGTTGCTGTGAAATCTTCAAAGGTTTATTTTGAAAACCCTAGTAGACAAGCAACATCATGAGGACCAAAGGAGATATCAGAGCATCAGAGAGGTGAAAGTCCACAACACACCATCATCAGTGACTGAGAAGATTTAAATGATCAGATGATTAATGGACCCAAAATACAGATTTAAAATGGATGCCAGGGTTCATGATCCTTAACCTGTCCATTGCTGCAATACAATGGTTTATTTAAAATATATGCATTTCAAAGTACAGAACTAAATCCCAGAGAAAATGCATGATGACACTAAAAAATAGATTTTTATTCTAAATAATCTTGTAGAAAAAATTGAAAAAAGTCAATATTAAAAAAAAAAAGTTATACCCTATAACTGGCTGTAATTATAGAGGGTCCATTAATATATCAATGCTTTTTTCCCTAATTTTTAAGAAACAATTGTCAGTGCATTGATCATTTCCTTCCACTTTATAACTATATACCACTGTTAGTCTTTCCTAGAAAATTCAACAATTTTTTTTCTGAAATATCTTTTTTAAAATTCAAAATGCAGGTCAAATTTCAATCAAGATTTCAACTTTCAAATTAGTAGGGCGTTGCTTTGACTGTAAATTAATAACCTCAACCTCTCCACTCCAAGTTCTTACAGTTTAGCATTTGCAGATACTGAATAACAGGTCATGGTCATGGTACATCTCATAAATATTAAGTCCATTAGTAGACAGCTAAAATTACAACCACTAACTGGATCGTGTCTACAAGCAAAACAACTGAATTGAAATTAGTTTTTAAACATCAACAACAACAACCGCAGAGAGATGGCAGCTGCCATTACCAGACTATATTACTCTTCCAGAAAGTTTAGGTATACTCAGGATCTGGAGGTACTTTGTTTGGGAAATCCTCACTGCTCTGCATGGTAATAGGACTCAGGGGACTGGAGGAAATCCAAGGCCGAACGATATGAAGGGATGGTGAGGATCAACAAATGCCTAATGATGCTGTAGTAATGGAGTGGGTCTAGCTGAATGAGTATTCACTCTGGCGCATTAAAAATAAATACATAAAATTGAGGCTATCTATGCATTTAAAAAAAAAAAGGAAAAAGAATGAAATAAAAAAAGGTTATTTTGATGTGTTTAAAACATACATTAAAATGCTTGCAATTGATAAAAAAAATATCCAAAGAGGCCAACCTGTGATAACTTTCACAACCCAGACCTTTAGCTTCTCGTATTATACTGTTTGATGCTCTAAACATGTTTTCCAAAACCACTTTAATGAAAATGCTATAGCAGAAATATTTAATGGCTTCTAATAGTATTCATTGATTATAATCTGATAAATATTTCACATTTGATTTTATGCACTAACTCCCTAAATCAGGATTATAGGTTATTGTGCTTTAAAATAAATGGGGAAAATTAAGCATAAATGTCTGAATTTATCAAAGCTATGCACAGCTCTTTTATTTGGACATTTTTAGGCCCACTAGAATCATAATGCATCAGGACAACATGACTGGGAGTAGGCAATGCAGAAATATCAGAATTGTACTTGGGATTATTGGTGTGACTCTGGCGCCCTCTTCTGACCAAACTAGACCATACATAAACAATTTCTCAAATTGAAAAAGTAATATTTTCATTGCAATCTCATCTCAAGAGCTAATAAACCTCTATCAACATAGATTGTCCTAATTCTGAGGGGGTTTCATTAATATTAAAACTTTGAAAACTGGGGTAATTTTGAAATTAATACATTTGTTATGCCAAATCATGGTTTATAATAATGTGCTGCTTTAACTTAGACGGTTAAGAGCCTATATACAGCTTGGGAAACAGAGATGAGCTTTTCTAGCTATTGCTGCCTGATTCTATTTTGGCTTCCAGTTGCTTTAATTATTTCATCTCAAGAATAATGGAGTGAATCAAGCAATAACCTTGAAGTACCACCTGATCATGGTGTGACCTAATTAAGAGGCCCTGGTGATAACCGGTCCAGGTACTAACTGACATTACAGATGTGCTTGCTATTCTTATATGATAAACTTACCCGGACTATGATTTGGTGTCATTTCACAATAAGGAAAATATATCAGCTCCTTTTGATAGTCTTCTTGAAAAGAAAAAAAGTTCTCAGACGGATTTCGCTTCAGCAATGTTTTCACTGGAGATGCTGTGTTCAGGGGAACAGTATTTGTTAGCCATTGTGTGTAAAGGTCTAAAAAGTAAAAAAGATTTACACACAAAAGGTCTCATAAGCAGGGCAACTACCATAACAGCTCTGTTTTTACTCTTTTCATCATCTGATGAGAGAAATGTCTCAACAGCATCTGCAGCTCACCCAGACTGACTGCATTAAGACCTCCATCCTAAGCCTGCTTGCCAGTATAGGCAGAACACCCTGTCTTGGTAGGTTTGCTGTTGTGTAAAATGATTTCTGATCCAAGAGGATGGAGTAAATATCTCTAAGTGATCTGTGAGGCGCACAAAGTTTAGATCGTTTTATATTTCAGCTGTTTTCAAATACTCCCCAAAGTTATGCAGTGTATCTCACCCACCGTTTGTTTACCGATAACCTGAGGCCTCGCCAAAGCAGCTAGATTTTATAGTCAATTACAGTCAAGTGGGTTCTATTCATTTATGCATCATTAACAAAAGTTAATGTTGTTCAACTTAAAACATATATTATTAGTGGAAAATCTAAAAAGATTACGGGTAGTGTAATTTCGCAAAGCACTGTATTGATCAGAGAAGTTGAAACCTGTATACAATGAAGAACAGCTGCTTTTTTAAGAAGTATACAGTGTTTGCAGCCATCTATTCCAACATTTTCTTTTCAGTTTTTTTTTGGAATGATGACAATGGATGAACTGCACCACAGGTACATAAAATTGGGGCTAACGGGAAAGATTTGGCTAATTAGTCTGCTCATCTGGGGAAAGTTTGGCTGTCAACAGTTCTACAACATCACTGGGACTTAAGATGGAAAACATCTCCTAGAACAATGTATGTTAATCCAGCTTCCTTTTTCTTTTTTTTTTCTTTTTTTACACTTGATTAGTTATATAGCTTTCAAATTACAAGCAAAAAAAAAGCACAATTTTTAGAACAAAATTATGAGAAACAAAAATAGATAATTCAATTGAAGTAAAACTGCTTTATTAGTGTACACTGTAAGAAGTCGTAAATGTTGGATAGTTGGAAAGCCTACGGAGATCATTGTTTGAGGAAAAGCAATTCTAATTCTAACAGGCTGCGTTCTAGTGAATATGCTCCGTTCATAGCAAGCAGAGGGAACATGTATGGAAAAAGAAAAACAGCTAAATAACATTATACAACAGCACTAGTGACTTGTAGGAACTTCACTTTATCAAAACAAAAAGTTTGCTCGACATATGCAGAAAAGAAGCTCATTTTGAAATACACAATTGTCATCACAATAAGAAGAAAATACAATATGATCTGTAAGTAGGAATGCAAATGTCAGAATGTGTTGGTGTCCTTCACAACCTCATTTGGTTCTGCCTCGTCTCTGAAAGAGAACAGCTGGTTGGTCTGACACTTCTAACGCAAAGGCTCTAGTTGGCTCCTGGCAATATGCACATAAAAAGGTTTAACCACCAAGAATAATTCCTCCACATACAGTCCCAACACTATTAGGTCAATGCATAGAACTAACACTTGTGTTAACTGTGGAAAAAAAAGTAAACACAATTTAGTTTCAGCTTGTAAGACTTTGGCTAGTCCAGCAAAATACAAGACAGGTTTAAAAGGTACGAATCAGACAAGATATAAATGGGATGAAAGTAACAGTAAGAGGAAAATTTAGAGAAAAAATAAAAGAAGCAAAAATGGAACTCAATCAGTTACTCTGCAGGACATGCATCTGTTCTCATGCACGCAAATCTTTCAAGTTTGTGCATTCAAATGCTGAAATTCTAGTTTCCGCAGAATCTTCGGACAAAAAAAATAACAAAACCTTCAGTGATTAAATTTAACATTTTATTTTATGTGCAACTTTCCCTTCAGTTTTTTTTGCATGCATACCAACAGAATGTGTAAGCATCAGTAAATATGTCATTTTCGCATTTAATCTATCCAATCAATTCATTTGCATGAACTTAAAACATACAGCTTGTTGTGAATGTGTGCAAGAAAACAAGTCAAAATAGACAATGTGTAAGTAAGGAGTTCTGAGGCTGCTGGTGACAGTTTCTATATGCAGAACAGGTGTGAGCCAGTCGGCTTGATCAAGGGATTTTAAATCCTCTGTCATAACATTCCTTTTTAGTTTTAAGTCCCTTCAGCTAGGTGACAGAAATGCTGCAGTATCCAGGTTCTCAAACTGCATGGGGCATTGAGTAAAATCAGCTGAATGAAAAGGGTTTCCTTGTTTCCTTTTAGTTTCCCATGCTTTCTTAAATTAATTGTTTCTTTTTAAATGTTTCTGGTTGCTAAAGGTACACCTCAAAGGAAAAAAAATGGCACCCATCACTCCACATTACATGATGTTTGAAAAGTACCATAACCAAGCTATAAGCTGTAAGCCAAGCATTATTAAGCAATAAACAACCCGTGGCTTTATAAACTAGATAATTTCTCCTGTTCAAATCGATTGATACTAAATAATGAGCAGGATGACCATACAAATAAATAAGTATGTTTATTTTAAGACCAATAGCACCACAATTTAGGGTTTATTTAAAAAATGTTATCATGTATGGGCAAAATTCTACCAATAATAATTAGTATACTAGTGTAACTAATGTTTAACATAAAGCCTTTATTTCTACACTGTGAAAACCGAATTCTGGCTCATACCTACTGCATATAGGAAAGTTCAGGGTTGTATGACAATTATAAATGTTTCTTCAGTGCGAAAGCATTTTGAATTACACAACAAAAACAGTTTAGTTATCTTTATTGTACTAAAAAAAAAGGTAATGTGTGACTGATCAAGCCAATTTTTGAACTGCAATGGACACGTATTCTTTGGTTACACACCTACTGCTGAAAGGTTGGTTAGAACAATGTGATAAACTGCCATTTAGAAGGAAAAAAATTGAAGCACCTGAAAAAATAAAAATAAAAAATAAACATCTCTTTGCTGTGATTTAAGCAACCAAATTGAGTTGAAGGGAGAAAATTTGTCTTTAAATTGAAAAGTCTTGCAATACACACAAAAAGCGAATCATCATCAAGCTGTAACTACTCAAATCAAGGTGTATTTTCTCAAGAACAAAAGAAACTCATCTAAGAAAAAGAGGAGTGAAGATTTTAAATATATTCATATACATATATTAAAAAAGTACAAAATAAATGTAGCTAAAACCTTTTGTAAAGACAATGATAAATGTGTAGTACAACTAAGCTTGTTCAACACTTAAAGCTGGAATACCTTACAGAAAATAAGATTGCTGGTTTAAGAGAGAAATAAAAAAAAAAAAATCATAATCAAATCAAACAAAATGCGTCAAGATTATTTAGAAAAATGATTCTTTACAGTGAGACTGGAGAGGGAGGAGAAAAATGTTTGTTGACTTTAAATACAGGATTCAGAGCATATTGTATTCGACATCAAAGGCAACTTTTTTTTTAAGGGTGCATAATTTGGGGCTGTGCAAGTACAGTATAGAAGCTATTTCATAGATTTATAAATTAAAGTCCCACTTTGGAGGACTTATTGTAATCTGTTATAATTTGAAAGTGTGCATTAGTTTATAATATGAGAAACTTGTGCATCTTTTTATACATTTGGAATCTCAGATTTAGTTATTGCGCATCGATGTGGTAGAAAATGTCATTTCTACCCTGTCTAAAGAGTGTTTGAATTTTATTTTGAGAAACCTTCTGGCTGTACTGAGTATCAAGGGTTATGGTGTGTCTTCATTATGTAAACCGCCGCTACTTGACTGCAGCGAAGTTTCCCACTGTGGGTGTTTGTTTGGTTTTAATTCTTGTCCGGTGTATCAGAGACGTGTGCGACCCTGTGTGATCAGAGCGATTCTCTGAAACTACAGAGAAAACTCTCTAGTGCATTGATGGACGCTTGTTCTCTCTTCTAAAAGGTTACGTATAAACCACTATTATAAACCACTGCTAGATTTCATACCATATCAGGGCTTAGATAATATCAACGTCTTTCCCACAATGACAGAAAGAAAGTAGAAGTTCTACAGAAAGCTACAGGTACAGAGTGTAAGAGAAAGAGTAAGAGCATGCAAAGTGGGTTAAATACTGTGATATCAAAGAACTTTAGAAAAAAAATTGATTGTTTAACTGCATCTGCAGTGAGGTGACATGTTGTATGCTCTTCTTCTTGCTCTTAGAATTTCGTAATTTATCAATTTTCTGTGTTTAGCATCACTGATCTCACTGTAATTATATTTAAATATACGCATTTCTTTTACCACCATCCAATAAAGAAACAGATCTAAGCTTGGATCCAAGTTTGAAGAGGGTGATTTGTGTCTAAAACAGAGTGTTAGTGTTAATATATTTCTGCGCACCTTTAGGAGCACTCCAGGATAATCAGGAATAAAATCTGAATTATTGGGATTTAAAAACGGAAAGGATGACAGAAAAGCTCATGCTAAAGTTTGAGTTTTGACGTGTTTAACGTTAGCTGGAGAGGTGGGTGGTCATCAATGTGTAAACTGAACTAGTCACGCCTAATCAAAGAGTTGAGCAGAACCAGTGGAATGACAGCTTCTAAGATTAATCGGTGTCGTTGCTTGATCCCCGAAACTGCTGTGGTGTCCCTGAGGACAGTATAAGGCTCAGTCCTGCTTCAGGTCCTTGATCAGAGCTCAGCTGTTGTCCATGGTGAAAATCACTTTTTCTACCTCGGGTTCTCCTACTGGTTATGTCGGCCAATTCCATTTTAGTCCTTTACAGACGCTGTTGCTCTACCTTCTTCTGTATGACATGTTCTTTGTTTTTAAAACACTTTTAGTACTTTATTTAAGACTGCATGGTAGTCTCATTTAAGACAAATTGTTCTGACATTGTGGAACGCCAGTCTGACTTTGCTTCGATCTCCGTTTAGGACATACTAGAGCAGCGCACTGTAGGAGAACCCATCTGGGTCAGTACTTTATCTAACCACTGGAGGGGGCCGTTGAGATGTAGCTCAATCCAACAAGGAGTGCTGGTTACAGTCTGGCGCCTGTGTAAAGAAAAAAGAACAGAAATGGAAAAATAAAAGTAAATGAAATAAACTACATAAATGAAATTCAGATTTTAAAAATGAATTTGGCTTTTATTCCATGCAAAAAAAACAAACAATGCATTTTCAAGTCATACCAAATTAAAGCATTTTATGCAAGACTTTGTCAAATAATATATTTTATTTTTGACTTTAATAGTTTCCGCTCAAAAAATACATTCTAAAGTAATTTAGAAATCTTAAGTCATTTCCAATCTGGGATTATTAAAGTATTTCTGATTCTAAACTCTAAAAAACATGCATAATTAGAATCCGTTTTAATAAGATTTTTACCAGTAATATAAGTTTGGCTGGTTTTTGTAACTGTACAGGAGCCAAAGAGGTTATGTGGTTGAATCTGTGGACAGGTAGCTATAAAGACATAGTAAGGTTAGCCTTTGAGGTGGAAGAGAAGTTAAATGTGCCACAAGTCATTTAGGAGATGTAGCAAATATGAAAGCTGGTTAAAATAAGAACAACACTGAACTTTATAGTCTAGATGAAATTGCTCTCTAAGGGGTGATGGTGGCTTATCATGAAGGGGTTTGTCCTGTAACCAGTGGGTGACTGGTTCAAGCTCTGTCTCGGTGTCCTTGAGCAGGACACGTTACAGATTTGCCTACTGTTAGTAGTCAGAGGGCCTGGTTTCTGCCAATCTACCCCAGAAAAGTCACAATGCAGCTTCCTACAGTCAACATGTGAATGGGTACATGACTGAATGTGTTGTAAAGAGCTTTGGGTTGTTTTGATTTGATAAAGTCCAAACAACAGATAATTTACAAGTTAAATAAATACTAGAAGAAAAATGGCGTGACTTGAGAATGGGACAGACGGTGACAATCTAACATGCCTGCAAATTTAGCCAGAAAGGTTCAAATTAAAGCTCATTAATGTGTTGGATTAGCATAAATGTCATGATTTCATGTAAGTCAGAGATTAAGATCGAGGCATGGAAACAGATTTTCTATAATATCTTAATTATAAAATGTATGTTTTTATTGTAATATAACAAAATTAATAAAAAGGAGAAAAATAACTCAATGACTGTAGTGTTCTTTTTTTAAGAACGGATGAATAATTCACATTCAAATTAAAATGATTCAGAGCTCCTATTATGCATAAAAACCAGCTATCATTAAAATTTGATACACTGAGAAATCTCTATATAAACCATTCTAATCTGAATCTTAAAAGCCTAGTTATTCTGTACGACCAAATTATTGAATAGTATGTAACTCACCTGTACTCCGCTCCCCAACCCTTGACGAAGCTCATTCTGATTGTGCACATTCTGGTTAGTTGGTACACTGCTTCAAAGCCCTGATTAACTGACTGCGCTAGCAGTGCCGCAAACTCCTGGTTGTTGAAAATCTTTAGATTACAGCCTAAAAACAAAGAGAAACAAAAAGAAACAAGTAGAGAAGCGCAGTGCAGCTAACATACATCTATGATTGATGATGATTACTACACCAATTCAAAGTGTTTACATAATAAATAATGCTTGGATAGCTTTTCTTTAAAGATCACCATCAAGTGGTTTTAAAAATTGTTTGTGAATACGACAAAAACGCAAACATTGCTAAGAGTAGGTGTGTTGTCAGCAATTATTCTGGAGAAGGCTGCCATGTCCCTAAACATCTGCCTCATACCTTCACTTTCTATGGTTCTAGCTGCAGTTCCCTGGATCTCACAGTCTATTCCTCCATGAGTTAACCGTTCAAACTTATATGGGTACAGATGAGTCAGTGTGTGGGTGACTGTGTGACAAATGCTGTCACATTGTGCAGGCTCTTTGTGCCTTTTTTTCAAGCTTCAGTTTATTTGTATCAGTGAGTCATTCTGGACCAAATAGCATGGTTGTTTACTCGCTGACTTTTTGATACCAGCTACCAGAAAGGACGTCAAGACTAAGATGGAGGCGAGTACAAGTAAGAACAATTTTTCCAGCGTGCTGACCTGGTGGTATCTTGCAGACAGTAGCTGGGTGCCATCCGTATCGTTGGTTACAGTTGGGACTTTGGACAAAGATGGCACTGTCACTGAGGCACTCAGCAAAGACCTCCCCACCAATGTAATACAACCTGACACCACGACCTGCAGAATTTTAGACAAAATGTGAAGACAATAGGGAGGAGGGGGGAATAGAAAGTAATAAGCTCCTGGTAAAGATGAAGGAGTTAAAGATAAACAGCCGTGGATGGGGAGTTTGTTAATAGAATCATTACTAATAGTTAACTTAAATGAAAGAGAAAGTTGACCGTTAAAAGTCTTAATCCCATCAATAAACCATGTGCTTTCATCAGATGAGACAACATTTTACTAAATGTTTTACTTTCTGATCTGAAAATATTTATGATGGTCCTGGCAGCATCATGCTATGAAGATTTTTTTTTTCTTCTAGGGAAGACATACTCTAACAGCTTTAATGAAAATTTTTTTTAGATCAAAGCCTTTCCACATTTTGGCCTTAACCTTTAGCTGAGCATGTTTGGCCAGATTTACACATTGCTTGCCGTTTAGCAAGTATTTTATTCCCTGAATGTGGAAAGCTGGTGGAGACAACACTAAAAAAGTTGCCTCATCAAATCTGAAAACATCTGGAATGCAAATCACAATTTTTTACTAAACTTTGAAAATCAAATTTACAATTGTCCATTTCGTTGTAACAATTTGTTTGCATAAAATCCATTTAAACAACTTTGAAGTTTAAAGAGGTGATCTAGGAAAACTGACAATAAATCTGATTGCAATTAATCAACTATGAAATCATGAACTGAATTAGTGATCTAATAACGGCTAAATGGTGGATAAAGACTAAAATATACCATTTAATAAAAATAAAAAAGCAACCAAGTGTGAGAAGTAATAAAGCCACAGTTTGTATACATTATGTAAAATTGCCTTTACATTCCTTTAACTGCTTCTATGGTAATTTAGCGAAGTCCCACAAATCATGAAACCTGATTCTGGAGTGTAGTAAAAAAAAAAAACAAAAAAACATTTTATTGCTTTTCTGGCAACTGAAATGAAATAAAAAATGTTCCATTTAAAAATTGGCTTTTCTAGAATTTGTAAGGACTCTAATCAAATATCTTCCACAAATGTTGATGCTTTAAAGCTCAGTTTTTTTTTTAAATGATTGTACGTTTCAGGGATGAACTCAAGAAAGTGTAGGTATGACAAAGTTTTTTTTTAAAATGATTACAAACTGCCCTTCTCTTCTGACAAAAAGTAAAATGTAAAAATAAGCTGTGCCGTGTGATTTAAAAAAAATAAATTGTTAATTTAAATATGAAATTAACTAAATTTAATCCTCAATTTTGGGATTTTGTCATTTAGGAAGAAAGAAAAAAGCAGAAGAAAAAAACAAAAATCTCTCCAAATATAAATATTTTTTTCTATACAACTCCAACATTGAAGAATGTTAAACATAAATTCATGAGGTCTAATTTGAGCTGAAACAAGAAGTTCTTAAATAACAAACAAACTCCTCATTTCACACACAAATAGCATTTGCAAGTGCATTCTCCTTCTCTGCATGCTTGTTGTTTGCTTTCCACACACACATAGCCTCCCTCCTACTCACTCCTTTGAACTTTATTTAGTTTGACAGTGGTAACCACCAGAGAGACAACAGCCTCCAATTGGCTACTTTTTGGAAATCCCGCTTTTTGAGACTGTACCATTTCTTTTGATTGCGGCTAATAAAGTATCAAAGCATCTTCAGGCTGATCACTGTTAAAAAGTAGCAATTCTTAATTACTTTCTTAAATAACTTTGATTTTAACACAGTCATAAATGCAATCAGGCATCAACTGTAAAATTATTATTCACAATGATTATAAATGCACATATTCAGATGGAATCTAACAGTGCATTTGTTCTTTAGTGTCCAGCATTGTATAAAAAAATGTTCTGAAAGCAGTCAATCACAGATTGTTGACTTTCTCTGGTGGGTAACATCCTACAACTGACAAAAGCTACAAAAGCAAGAAAAGGAAAAAATAAGGTCAACATAAGAGTAGAACAAAGGCTACAGATGGTAAAAAAGATAAAAAGTGTGCAGAAAATGAGCCTGCACTCATGGGCAAGTTACTGGAGCTTTGAGATACCGAATCTAAACATGTAAAAAAGTTCAAGCTATTTATGTGTAGTGAATGTGATCTAGGATAAAATCAAAATGCTCATAAGATCATTTATTGCTAGTGAATTATTTTCTTTTTGGCAGAAAGCTGACTGAAAACAAACTCTATACTCTACATTGGACCCTGCTTTAATGAACCAGAATTGGTCGAATAAAAGGCTGTAACAAAACCAGTTCATTATCTATTAAAAACCTCACTCCTAGAACCCTTTTGTGCACAAAGTGTCTTATAAACTACTGCTCCATTCATATGTCTATTAGGGCTGAAAAAACTAATCGGATTAATCCTGATTAATCAATTATTTAAATAATCATCAACTAGTTTAGTAATCGTTTAATTGTTAACTGGAGTATAGAGAATCTAAAACATGCCTTTTTTGACAGAGCGAACCACCTTAAGCAGTAATTTTATCAAAATTGTAAAAAAAAGAAGAAGAAAAAAAATCAGTATGCTCTATCCAGAACTCCTCAAGTGGAAATGTTTTTATTTCACCGGGTTTACTTTCGTAAAAAAAAAAAAATCTTCTTTAAGCAGCCTTTGGCTATCCGATTACTAATCAATTAATCGAAAAAAAATAATCGACAGATTGATCTGCAAAATAACGGTTAGTTGCAGCCCTAATGTGTATATACCTATATGCCTCCTTGTCATCTCCACAGTGGCATTTCTGTTAACATTGCTGAGGAGGCCTAAACAGAAGCGTTCAGAGTTGGAGGGATCGGTGAAGCCGTCTACGGTCAGAGATGGCTGGGAGGCGTGGAACGTCTCACCAACCCGCTGATTCAGCTCGTAGTAAGCTATAGAGCACCAAAAAGCTGGTTCACTGTAGGTGACAGGCTGAAGGTCTGGGAGGAGAACGGAAGACATCGTTGTTCAGTCAGTATTTCAAAACCTTCAACTGCTTCTGTGATGCATTAATTTCCACAGCTGAAAAAAATCCTTTTAAAAAAGAAACTCACCTAAGCTGTGACTGACAGGTGAGAGGGCGCTTGGTGACATTTCTGCTGGTGAGCCTGGTGGGAAAACCATCATATCTACTTTTATTCTTTTAAAATCAAAATATTCCAGTTAGAAATGTTGCTACTTTTAAAGGAAAACATTGTTTTCTGCCAGCTTGAGGCTAGTTTTGCTGTTAATAAAAAAAACATTGCCTTTATTGACTCGCTACTGGGACGTGTCAGAGTTAGCAGATATATTTAGGCCCAAACACCAAACAGCATTTCCCTTGCTTGCCCCTTTTGTTGCATCCTAAACTAATACACACTAATGGTTGTTGAGGAGATGCATTTAATTAAAAATGACCGATGGATTTTTTTTTTATACAATTAGCATAAATGTGTATAGAGGTGCCTAAAAACTGGTTGATAGTACAGCCAGTTTGAAATATGTATTTCTAAACATTTTGACATCTTTCTATATAAGGGTAAGACCACCTCTGCTACTAATACAAACTATTAATGAACATTAATGGCAGAAAAAAAAAAAACATATAATATTGCCACAAAGTTCTGATACAAAATCTTTGAAAACTTAAACCCCATTAATATTGAGGCATATATTTCAATATACAACAATGTGTAAAATGTCTGAAAGAGTCACAGCAGCTTCCAACCACAACTAATCTACCTGATTCCATACTTTGATTCATTTGCTGGTCGCTGGTCTCTCCATCTTCACTCATGTAGCCCGGAGGTGGGGTGTCTGAAGAGCAAGTGATGAAACGCATTCATGTTTATGAAACAAGAAATCATCAATTAAAGTAATTTTAAGAGTTTTTTTGCATGTAAAATGAAAAAAGGAAACCTCTCTATTTATGTAAAACAAACTGTGGACTCAATTAGTTGTAGGCTGATGTCATTTAATACATTTTATGAATTGTTTGTGTCCAAAAAGTAAAGGCAGCATTATGACCAAAATGTAATATGAATTTATTTGAATTCAGATCCCTTAATAATGAAATTAACCATTATGATCAAAAGATGGTTTCCAAAATGTTTTCTGAGGATTATATAGGAGCAAATAGAAGAACAATGTTTTCTATGGTGTTAACACAGAAAAGGATTTTAAAATTAATTTAATCCTGTGCAAAGAGAAACAGATATAGTGACCATGTTTCATAGATAATAGAGGAAGGGGCTGAAAAGCAAATCTATTTTTAACACAAACCTGGTATATAGTTGTTAGGAGGATCTATGCCTGCAGGGAAGTTGGTGTTTTCAGGGATAGAGTTTGTGAAGTCATCTAGAGGTGGAAGTTCTGTCAGAATCTCTGTGTGGCGTGGCACCAACACAGGAGGCAGCACTAAGAAGAAAAATGAAAGAATTGTATTTTCCTTTTTACAAGTCAAATGTAAGTAGACAAAAAGTACGCATTTATAAAACTTTACATAGATACTGTCAGTTTGAAACAACTACATGAACTTCCTCTAGCATGTAATTGCTTATTTAAAAGAAAAGTCTTCTGTAATTCCACTGATCATTACCAGGCGTCTCCACTCTCTGGTAGTGGTAAGGATTGACACAAACTTCATCTTTCTTCAGATTGAATGCATATTGGCATGTGTCAATAGCCCTCAGCTCATGGTGGCTGTGAAGGTCAGGCCATCTCCACAGTCGGCAGTAGATGACATGAGGCAGGCCTTTACGATGAGAAACTTGCAGACGGCCATCGAGGGACCTGATACATTGAGGGGAGAAACAGACAAAGAGCTCTTTTTTTTTTGTCAGAAGTATGGAGGACAGTTGGAAAAAAGGTTTTTGTACTGAAGTGCAAGAAACAAGACTAGTAAAAACCCCAATAACATTGGAAAAACTAACTTTTACCGTTAGAGTGTACTTAAAATTAAACTCTTCAGTTTCTGTTACTTCATTTTATAGGACATGTTGAAAGCATTGTAGAAATCTGATGTGTGCTCCAAAGCTTGCGTTAACACATCACATAGGCCTATTCTCTACGTTTTTAAATCCCTTTTCAAAACCCACCTCTTTGCTTTGGCTTTTCACACCTAGCAAGACAGTCGGCTTTATTCTATCCTTTTATCCCATTTTTAATGCTTTGATTGGACTGGGTTGAATTGGAATATCTCTTAAAGAAAAGATAATTAAACCTTAAAACTAAAGTGAGGTAATTTTTACCAGTTAATATTTAGAATAGCATAAATGTGTGAAATCACACAAATCAGTTTTTTTTTTATAAAAGCAATATGTTATAAACTTTTATAACCAGGTCCCCAAAGTTAATTCATAGCATTAATTGCAATGAAAGGTGAGCCAGAAGTGTTTGCACTGAGGGGGGGGGTTTATTATAAATGCAGGCCACACTTTTCTGACTTTTATGTGATTTAAAAACAATACTTTTAAAACCATTTTATGAATTTTCTATTAATTAAAGTATTACGACTACAACTGTAAATGTTGTTTTAATTAATTGGTTTTGGGTAGAAATAACTAGTGATGGCCTGATCCGATATAGTTATCAGAAATCAGTTTAATATATATAATAAATAAATAAAAAATTACTGGAATAAATCGGCCTGCATCTAAAATCCCCTACATCAGCGAGCTGATAGAAACACTGCACCTCATTCAGTTTCTGTTTAAAGTAACCCATTAGTTAATAATAAAGGGATTAGTTACTGTTGGAGTAATAACACTTGATCAAGTCTTTTGAAATGTGATACTACAAAAAGTCAAACCTGCATCAGCCAAAAGTAAAGGCTACATCCCTACTCTCCATATCCCATGATTAAGCCTTTTATAACATTCCACACAACTAAATATGCGATAAAAGATTTTTGCAGAAATATATAGTCAATAATCAAAGCTGTTATATCTATATTCGAAATACAAATAACTAAATGCCACACGTACCATTTTTAACCCTTTATAGGGCACTCAGTGAAATACTTTGAAAAATTCAAGCCAATAGTGTCACTGGAATCCAGGACAAGACCTTATTATCTTTGTAACATTCAAAAAATGTGGATCTTTTAATGGAAAAATTAATTGTCAATGTAATAACAAGAAACACCAACTTCCCCGAAAATATTAAGAAAAATAACAAAAGTGCTTCCATATGAAATTAATGAAAAACACTCCGAGAGTAAAAGAAACACATTTTCATTTGGTGCAACATAACCTTAGAGGCTTTAATGCTGATACTAGCACTTATATATTTAGTTTATAAACCTAAATATAATGGTTAACTAGGCTTATTGACTTTTTAAATTAGCTTTTTACTTTTTTTCTTGACTGTTACCTTTTTTAAACTTAATTTACAGTAGGTAATATATCATCCAGGGGCTCATCTAATTGTTCAAATGCCAAAATAAGATGTACAGCTATGTAGCAGTATCTTTGCTGAATGGCTAAACGGCTGGATCAAAAACGCTAACTTGCTACATAAAGGGTTAATAAACCCTTTTTCAAACCTCACAGTTGCAAGATATACTCAAT